GTAAATGGGGCAAATGATCGCTGGAAGGAACGTGTTCCCTTCTCTCAAAACACGAACAGTTGGCACAAAGTGATCTGTTGGCACAAAGTGATCTGTTGCTTGTCAGGAAATGCATCAGGAACCATTTGGATAATCAAGTTATCAAAACTAAACATTTGATCATTTGTGAGCTTATCAGATGTGTAGGGCTGGGTATCATTCCAAAATCTTCGACACTGATATCAATACCTTGACTTCAATACTGGTTCCTACATAATACTTCTTCTGTGTCAGTTTTACCATACCATACCAACTTTATTTATAAAGCACTAAAAACAACCAGAGTGGAGCACATTGCTGTACATTGAAATAAAACAGTATATATTTTAAACCCACAAACAATATAACTCAACTCAACTTTATTTATATAGCACTTTAACACAGCCAGAGCCAAACAGTGCTAAACATACGATTCTATTTAAAACATGTAAACATATAACCCACTACATTAATAAAAAAGAATAAAACAACAATAAAATTAAACTAGAAAATTGCATTTTCTGAAGAAAATGTGTATGGATGCTGTGCTGAAAGATTGACCTGAAAATACTGAACATTAAAAAAGTTGAAATTTCCCATTCATTTGAATGGGGCAAGATTTTCAAAATAAAGTTAAATATTTCAAAACTGAAGTTTGGAAAACTTCTGAATAGAAACATGAATGTCCTCGAAGAGCTGAACATTTTGATAGCTGAAAGTTTGCTGAAGTAGAATTTTCCCATTCATTTGAATGGGGCAAGTTTTTCAAAATAAAGCTAAATATTTTAAAAGTATGAAGTTTAGAAAGATTCTGAAGAGATGCATGAATGTCCTTGAAGAGCTGAACATTTTGATACCTGAAATAGCTGAAAGTATGAAGAAGTAAAATTTTCCTATTCATTTGAATGGGGCAAAATTTTCAGCATAAAGCTGAATATTTAAAAAGTATAAAAGTTACAAAAAAGTTGTATACATCCGTGCATGTCCTGAAAAAGCTGAACGTTTTGATACCTGAATGGTTTTTCTAGCCAAAAGTATGCGGAACTAGTTAAGGGCCAAAAAACGTACGGAATAATAATAATAATAACTAGAAAACTGCATTTTCTGATTTTCTTGATTGGTGTCTCTAAATTGCCCATAGGAGTGTGTGTGTGTGTGTGTGTGTGTGTGTGTGCGCGCGCGCGCGCGCGTGTGTGTTGTTGTTCGTCTCTGTGTTAGCCCTGCGATGGATTGGCGACCTGTCCAGGGTGTACCCCGCCTTCGCCCGATTGCCGGCTGGGATTGGCTCCAGCCTCCCCATGACCCCGTTCAGGGACTAAGCGGTAGAAAATGAATGAATTTCAGAAGTATGAAGTTTAGTAAAGTGCTGAAGAGAAGCATGAATGTCCTTGAAGAGCTGAACATTTTGATAATACAATAATAATAATAATAAAGACCAGGAAAACAACAATAACTAAATCAAAATAGTACAAAGTACTATCCAAAACCTGAACCTGAACAGTCTCCCACCATATCAAACGTCAATATAATATAGTCAATATGATAAATGACTAAATCAACACAAAAATAAAATATCAAAATGCATGGGAAAATAAATGAAATTTTTTTAAAGAGACTTAAAAACAGACAGGGTAGAGGGACAGCGGTAAGTAATTCCAGAGTTTTGGACCAGCAACTGCGAAGCCTCGATCACCTCTAATCTTACGCTTTGTTCTTGGGACACTCAAGAGAAACTGATTTGCTGACCTTAGAGAGCGTGAGGGTGTATGCCAATGAAGCAAATCAGATAAGTAGGATGGTGCAAAGTCATGAAGGGATTTAACAACAAAGAGTAAAATTTTGTAATGGACCTGAAAATGAACAGGTAACCGATGTAGGGAAGCCAATACTGGAGAGATATGCTCATATTTCCTCGTACCTGTTAAAAGACGTGCATTTTGGACTATCTGGAGGCGAGTGATAGAAGACTCACCGACCCTAAGATACAACGAATTACAATAGTCCAAACGCGAGGTGATAAAAGCATGAATGAGCGTGTCAAACTGCTGTCTAGAGACAAATGCTTTTATTTTAGCCAACTGTCTTAGTTGAAAGAAACTAGATTTAACGACAGCTGCAATTTGGCTGTCGAATCTTAAATCAGGGTCCATCTTAATACCTAAAATTGAAATATTCTTTTTATTGAGCCAAGTTTTATAAAATCAATTTTAACAAATAAAAATTACAAGTTGGTACAGATTGTTAATTTTAGTCCTCAATTCCTTGGCGTTTTTGTGCACGAAGTTTCATGACATTAAAAATAAACCTATATGCCACACCCTTATGTTACAAAGTATTTTTCAATAGTATTGAAGTAATTCGATCAATGCCATAAAAGTATTGAAGTTCGATACCCAGCGTTTCGTAGATTGTTTATATTGTTAATATAATAATAAACGTGAATCCACTGTGTTGAAATTTTTAACTCCCCATAACGCTAAATCTATGGGAGCCCTGAACTTGTTTCTCTGCAAGGAGACGGTCCCATCTGGGGGTAATAGGAGACAATGACACCCGAAGTGTGTTGCTTATGTTCAGTCTACTCCGTTGTTTTGTTTTGGTTGCTGTCACTGCAGAAAAACCCGCTTCACACAGATAGGATGTCGGAAATGGCAACAGGGTTTTCAGTGCTGTGGTGGCGATCTCAGGGTATTCTGTCATGACTTTAATCCAGAACACCGACAGAGTTGTTGTCTCGAACATACTTTTAAGGCCGTCGTCATTTGCGATCTCCAGCAGTTGATCTTCTTCTTCTTGCACAGACCTGCTGGATTCACCTGGTTTGTTGACAAATGGGTTGCGGATCCATTCCTTGGCAGTTCGTGGGTCCTTTGTGGTTGGGAAGTAGCGCTCGAACTCTTTTAAAAGCAAAGACAGGTGATCGTGCACCAGCTGGGAGAATGAAGGCTCAGGCTCAGTCTCACCCAAAATCCCCGCTAATGTTTGAAACATGTCCAAAATGCCTCTGTTGACGCGCCGTCCCCACAAATCCAGTTTGGCTTTAAATGCAGCTACTTTATCTGCCAACTTGAAGACAGTTGTCATTTTCCCCTGAAGTGACAGACTGAGTTCATTGAGCAGGCTGAATATGTCCACAAGTAAGCCAGTTTTGGCGCTCAAGTGACCGAGATGTAACCGAGAGAATGCGGTCATTTTTCAAAATAAAAGATCGTTCAGACTCAGATAATAAATAAAACGGAAATAATTAATGATTTCTTGTGCGGCCCGGTACCAATTGATCCACGGACCGGTACCGGTCCGCGGCCCGGGGGTTGGGGACCACTGTTTTAGAGGATCAAACTTTTTTTTAAAAACAGTCTTAGTAGTAGCACTTGTGTGTTGATAATGTTCTAGCTAAACAGGTTGTCTGTTTTTATCTGATCTTGATATGAAGATCATATTGTGCAGTTTGGGAAAATACAGAAATGTTGGTTATACTGTAGCCTGAGGTTCTGAGTATAGGTGAAACCAGGGAGAACCAGTGATTGGCTGCAAACACAGCAGTTGGCACAACTGAGGTCAAAGTTCAACCAATTTGGCCTTTTGGCACACCCCCATGCTGTGCAGCGAGCCACATACACAGCAATGGCGTTTTCCTCTATAATGTGAATACACCTTAAACATCATTCACTAGAGGTGTCATGGTTCACAGAGTTCAGTATGTTTCAATTCTGCAAGCGATACAATAGAAACCCAAAAGATAACGTTTATTTTGAAATGGGAGTTCACTGGCCAGAGTTCAGTGTTGGCATAAGGTAATTCACAGAATTCTGATTAACATTGTAGTCAATGAAGACTCTCTTCCAAGTTTTACATGGTTACGTAGCTGTTTGTAGGCCTGAAGGACCATCCCTCAGTTGTTTGCTGGGGCTGTGGATATTTCCTGGGACATTAGAGCAGTGCCCAGCCCCTGTGATAGATATGCCGGGGGCTTGGTATCACTTCAATCAAACATCTTTGTTCATTCCTCTCTTTGTCAGTAACAGGAAGACTATAGTGCTAACATTAAGTAGTTCAAACCAAACCATGGAGGCATTTCCAGCTCTGACTTCATACCTGATTTTGTCCTCAAAACAGAGTGGTGTTGCGGTAGGAGTTAGTCAGAAGTCTTGCTAGGACAGGCAGCCCCCTTCCCTCCACCCAAAAACTCCTCCAGCGCCTTTTCAGCCATTAATCACAGCATTGTGTTGAAGAGCCTATGTGGTGTGTGTGTGTTTGGAGCAGCTGTGTTCTTTGTTAAATGTTAACCGTGTGGCTGCTGTGCCATTAGCATTAGTATGGGAGCAGGGAATGGAAAGTTGACACAGTAAGGAGAGAAAGATGAAGATTCATGTGTAAGGGAAGCATTCAACAAGAGGAACTGAGAAGGTGAAGGAGAAAGTCAGCAGGAGGAAATGTTTTATTCCCTCCATTTGAAAGCTGTTCTTCTTGGCAGATGAGCTCCTGACCTTTTCCCTCCCAGATTATAAATCTACATGATTTCCTCTGCTTTAGACCTGTTCCTCCTAGCCACGGGTGAAGTGAATGCACATGCTGTGGGTTGTTGTTCATCAAAAGCATGAATGTAGGTAAAGAGGCCAGCTGGCTGTCGTTCTGTTTGCCTTTCTGAGGTCAAACTGGATCTTCATTGCACACACAGCTGGCAGCTCATTCATTAGGTACACCTTGCTATAACACTGAGTACTGCATCCTACAAAGAGGCAGTACCCCTATTTAGCCAAGCCTTATTGTTGTAAATGAGCTGACACAAATAGCATCTTCTATAGTGATCATACACTTGAAATAATGCCTCTTTGAAGCAGTTTGAGCAAAACCCAACATTTTTACCTTATTGCAGTGATTGGACTGTATTAGTTTTAGCTACATGGATCTAATAAACCAACAACTGAGTGCACTGTATATACACACAGTTAATGCTGTTAAACTTGTGACTGTGTCCTCAGGTGAGTCTGGTCTTGGGAAATCAACACTGATCAATTCTCTGTTCCTGACTGACCTGTACTCCAAGGACTACCCTGGGCCCTCCCAGCGCATCAAGAAGACTGTGCAGGTAAGTCTGTTCCATCATTAGTGCGTTTATAGTGTCATAGAGTTAAATGAATGGCGATGACTTCATGACATTTGTGAACAGGGGGACTACCTGGAACTCGGAAAGAAGTCATCTCTCCCAGGTTTGTTATGGCTTTGTATGGTTGGAGTGGTTTGTTTTCACAGGCTTCGAAACTGAAAGATCAGTTGCCCAAATCCAGCTACTTGTCAGTTGTTGCTTCACCTGGAGACAGACATTTTCTTTCTCTGTGTGCATGTATGTGTAATAGATGATGTTTTCAGTTCATATAGGCCTCTATTCCCAGATGTCTAACTTCTTTCAGAAATGTTAAACCCGCCATAACCTAGTCTCTCGTCATTCAATCCCAACCCTAACCATGAAAAGGATCAGTTATCAGAGCTCTGCAAACATTTCAGGGCCATAGACTCTGTGTCTGTTCTGTGTGTGTCCCCCTGTTGTCTGACCTCGGCCTGAACGGACAACAAAACATCATGTCGGGTTTGAAGGTTGGCGAGACGAACTGCCTCTGAGCAGTCCATCTTCATAACCACGCTCAACATGCTACTTTTTGAAACTCTTCATATTTAGATATTTGCAAACATGTCACAGGCCTAACTGGTAATCTCATCTCTGTGAAGTTAAGTTGACCACTGAGCCTTGTGTGATTTCTGTCAAGGAGGTGTTTTATCTAAAAAATTGGTATAATAATGCCCATTGAAAACATTTGAAAGCTTTAGTTTCAGAAGAAGATGTGGCTGCTTACATCTTGGACACATAAATGTAATCACATTGGCTGAACCTGTCCTAGTTTCATACTGTCCCTGAGGTTAAAGGAGAAGAAGGAGGAGAAGGAGAAAGACAGCAGGAGGTGAGTACTCTGGAGAGGAGGAAGAGAGAGGGATGAAGTACCATGGAAAAGGAAAAGATGGAGGAATAAGTGGAACAGTGAAGCCACATTGACTAGTTTTGTCCTTTTATGGTCATGACAAACTGAGGAGGAGGAGGGTGGCTGCATCTGGAAGGGGAGAAAAGGGTTGTGGACAAAGGAGCAATGAAGCCAAAAAGCAGGAGTGAGGGAGGAGTGCAGGTTACAGGAGAAGAGAGGTAGAAGCAGTGTGAAGTAGAGGGAAACAACGCAGCACACAGCCGGTTCAGACTAAAGACCAAGGGGAGCGATGTGGCAGTGAAGGGTGACCAGGGAATTGGGAGAGAGCCACTGTATTTCCCCTGCGGTCTGAGCAGGGCAGGAATGTTCCCATGAAACATAACATCCCCCCTTCCTCACACATAGCTGCTGCTGGAAAGATCAAAGATTCATCCACTCTTTACATCAGAGAGAAATTGTTTGCCTAAATCGCTTCACACCAGCATTTGATGCCCACCTAAACCATCATCTCTATATATTAACACAACGAGCATAACGCTGACACATCCACAGCACACGGCGGCCTTTAGCTAGAAGCTAGCTCTTCAGTTTGTTTCCTAGCTGGCCTGAAGTGCTTTATGTGGGTTGGTTAGTGATGAAGTTCAGCTGAAATTTCAGTGTGATGTTCTTAGGAATGAACAGGTTCATTAAGTTTAAGGGACTCTCACCCAAATGACCAACCCCTGCTTTTAGTTTTGGTTTGATTTGGCTTTTTGAGATTCCTCTTGTGGAGGTTTTTGCCTCTAACAGTTAACAACTTTATGTGTTGCTGTCAGTGATTTTCATTCATGTTAATATTGAAATTAACTGTGCTCCACTTGCCTCTGTTGTACTGGAGATAGAAATCTCAAACCTAAATGATTTAAACCAAATCTTCTACCATATGGATAGAAACCAGTAGGAAGGTTCTCGCTCACACCAACATTTAAAGCAGCAAGGTCAGTTTATGTCCTTTGTTGGTGGTGAGCACTTAAATTCACACCATGACAAATAACAAGCTGTCTTCACAGTGCTGACCCTTAGGGCCCGTGACACACCAAGCCAACAGTTGGCCGTTAGCCACCGTCAGGACTTTGCTTCGCGTCTGTTACCCTCGAATTTACAGTGAGTCCTGCACTGTTGGGAACAGTCCGACACTGTAGGCAGCTTTTCAGCCGATTCAGCGTGTTGAACCTGCGGTGGGCCTTGTCAGCGAGAGAGACCACTCTGATTGACTGTTTGGCTTAGCAAATCAGTGCAGAAGAAAAAAACAATTCAGGAAAGCCTCTTTGGCCTGTCTCTGTAGTGTCTGGGATTTCACCCATTTAGTGCAGTCTCTCCCTGTGCTTCACCTCTGTGACCTCTTTTCTTCTTCCACAAACAAATAAGCCCTGATTTCTAGAGCTGAATATTGAACTACAGTTGCTTAAGTCAAGAATGAACTTTGATGCTTGGATAGTTCCTGATTGTAATTGATACTGAAACTATACACACCTCTACAGAAAGTCATCAGTATTGTTCCATCAAAAGACAATGCAAAGCTCAGTGCAGTTGTGATGAGCATCCTTTAAAACTTTCCCACAGGATCTTTTCATGAATGAAAATGTTTTTTGCTATTGGGCTGTCAGAATTGTTTTTCTATCTTTTGTTTGTCTTTTGTTTTTGATGCTGTGAGTTCTAAATTACAGATTGTATAATCAAATCAGGTGATGTATGTTTTATATCCAGTATTTCTGCTTTGTTCCAGTTTGTGCTTCAGCACAGTGCTAAATTTATTCATTCTGCTTTGTGAGACTAAAAACATTAAGATATTTTACGTCGGGTTCCCGTCTGTCGCTCACATCAAACCGCCGGTCAACCTCATGATCACAACGTGGGTATAAATGCTCTGTTGCAAGTAACATTTAGCGTTTGTAACTGTGTTTGCCGTGGGTGCTGTGGTCTGATGCCAAGAGGGAGAACCAGGTCAGAGTATTTATATTCCAGAACAATCACTCATGGTTTGTCACTCACTCACATTCCCCCAGACCAGATTTCTTTTAATTGATGGTGTTGAGACTGACGGCATTCTTGAGGTTTACTCCCAATCTGTTTTCCTTCCAGAAAGCAGACTTGGTTTTGAAACGGTTGACATGTCATGCACAAACATTTAACAGTACATACACTTCAGCACACACACTAGATGGACAGTTTAGCTCCGATATGTCAAAAGACTGCGGTGCGTGATATATTTGCTCAGCTGTAAAGTCAGACAGATTATCTGAAGGTTTGTGGAAGCTTAAGAATGTTTGTGTTGGAGCAGGAGGGCTGTAGTTTGAGTTAAAGGGGTGATCCTAAAATAACTAGATGGCCTTGTGAAAGTATGTGGCGAAGCAAGGGAACAGCAGACAAGCTACAGGAAATGATGGATCTGTGGAACTGAATGTGACTGAAGAATGAGAATGCGTTGGTTTTGTTTGTCGGATTTTTCTTTCAGAGTAAAACTTCAAGCAGAAGTCAGTTATTTTCTTAATAGACAGTAATGTATTGGATCTTGAATTACTTTAGTACTGTGTGCCTCGTTATTCAAGTGCTCAACAGAACCAGTTTACCTCTTTATATCGTGTTAAATGTACTGAACAGCTCTGAGTTGCTCTTCCCTGCTACATTAGGAGCAGTCTGTCATGAGAGAGGTATGATTGCACATTTTAGGTGTTTACATTAATGGTCACCTCTTCAGAGTTTCCAGAGCTCTTTCCTAGGCTTTCCATGAATTTCAGTAGTAAGTAAAAAATCATGACAAATGGTCATTTAAGAGTAACTCGGGTGCCTCAGAACCATGACTAACCTCCGAGTTAGTGAAGCTAAAGAGAACTCCACCAATTTAGCACTGGACTCCTGTAACATTGGCAAATGCACAGTGGACCCTTTTTTATTCTAGAGGCAGGCAGCTGGGTTTTTGCACAGCTATTTTCATTTAGCTAAATAATGATCTGCTGTCAGTGTAGTGCTACACAGGGGATGGGCTTATCCCCATGCACGTCATGTATCCTGTTGTGATGTTATAACTGGCCCAGGTTCATCAGCACCTGCCCTCCAGGCAGAAAACTAAATGTTACGTATTTAACTTAAAATCCGAGCGGGGATAGAGTTTAGTAATGTGGCACCTGAGCCACCTCAAAGCTGTTGTTTTTCCTCCATCATACAGCTCTTTAAAGACATTCAGCTTGGCTTCCTCATGTCTCTTACAGGATTAGTTTGATTCAGAAGTAGTGGTACGTGAATGGAAAGTGTACACTGTGTAGCAAGGAAGTGGTAACCATTCATCGGTAACTGGCAAACCAGTACTGGTCTAAATGTTGTAAAGAAGGAGTCGGATTCCCCACCCACAACCAGCAGATACTGGTATCTCAGAATCTCCCAGCATGCCGTGTGGGTGCACTTACAGTGTGATGATGTATCATCAGTGCCGTGAGGATATTGTCATGTAATTAAACGTGTGTTGGAGCAGACCATACTGGTGCTGTCAAACTGAACTCTGATGTGTATTTGGGAGGAGGTAGAGCAGGTTGTCTCCTAACTGGATTATTAGTGGTCCGATTCCCAGCTTGTCCAGTCCACGCGTTGAAGTGTCCTTGAGCAAGACATTGAACCCCCAGTTGCTCCCAGTGATGTGTGAGTGCTTGGGAGTGCGAATGGGTGAAAGGCCAAATAGTGTGAAAGCGCTTTGAGTGAGCTGCGATGCATAGAAAAGCTCTGTACAACTATAAGACCATTTACAATAAGACCATATTTACAACATTAGGAATCCTCACTAATAAAATAAGGAGAAATAGGATTCACGTCAGATTCAGAAGTTAGAGGCTGGGAAGTTCAAAGTTCAAGTTCAAAGTGTTTTTATTTTGTCATATGCACAGTTAGGAAACATGTTTCCCTGTACAATGAAATTCTTACTTTGCTGTCCACATGAATGCCACAAAATACAAATGAAATATAAAGTAGATAAATAACACAAAATCTAAGGCACTTTAAGCACCAACAGATGCAGCAATATAATAAAAAATATATAAGAATATAACTAAATGTATGCTGCATGGGAGCAGCATGTGCAGCAGAGTCATTGTGCAATTATGCATGTAACACAAAATCTAGGACACTTTAAGCAGCAACAAATGCAGCAATATAATAAAAGAATATAATAGAGAATGTATGCTGCATGGGGGCAGCAGTCAATAGTCATTGTGCAATTATGCATGTGCAAACTGAGAATGTAAACAGTACATCACGTATTTTCTGGTAATAAACTCCTCAGCTGTTTAGGAGTCTGATGGCAGAGGGAAAGAAAGAGTTTTTCAGTCTAGTGGTCCATAGCAGTAGTGCTGCCATACCAGACAGTGATGCAGCTGGTCAAGATGCTCTCAATGATGCAGCTGTAGAAGTTGCTGAGGATCCTAGGCAACATGCCAAACCTCCTCAGCCTCCTCAGGAAGTACAGCCGCCGTTCTTGACCAGCTGTGTGGTGTTATGTGTCCAAGTGAGGTCCTCACTGATATGGACGCCCAGGTATTTGAGGCTGCTCACCCTCTCCGCTTCGAGCCCCCAGATGAACAGTGGCCGATGAGATCTCCTCTCCTTCCTCATGTCCACTATCATCTCCTTCATCTTGTCCATGTTGAGGCTGAGATTATTGTCCTTTCACCAAGACACCAGACCAGCCACCACCCTCCTGTAGGCTGCTTCGTCCTGCCAGTGATGCGACCTGACACTGCGGTGTCATCCGTGAACTTCAGGATGATGTTGTCTTTGTGGGAGGTGACACAGTCGTGGGTGAACAGGGTATAGAGGATGGGACTGAGGACACATCCCTGTGGGGTGCCAGTGTTTGTAACAATGCTGGCTGAAGTCCTATTGCCAATCCGGACAGTCTGGGGCCTGCCAGTCAGAAAGTCCAAGAGCTAGTCACAGAGGGTGGGGTGCAGACCTAGTGTGGACAGTTTGTGGGGGACAACTGTGTTGAAGGCGGAGCTGTAGTCAATGAAGAGTATCCTGATGTTGGAGTCTCTATTTTCCAGGTGAGAAAGGGAATAGTAGAGTACAGCCGCGATGAGGTGGCCCTGTTGGGCCGGTAGGCATACTGCAGGGGGTCCAGGGTGCCAGGTATACTGCTCTGAATGCGGGCCAGCACCACTCTCTCAAAGCACTTCATAATAATTGGGGTGAGTGCCACTGGCCTGTAGTTGTTCAGGCAGGTGACCGGGGTCTTCTTGGGAAGGGGGACGATGGTTATGGTCTTAAAGCAGGTGGGAACGATGCTCTGGCTGAGGGAGAGGTTGAAGATGGTGGTGAGAACATCAGCCAGCTCGCTGGCACATGCCCTGAGAGCCCTCCCAGGGATGTTGTCCGGTCCTGCTGCTTTGCGGGGGTTGATCTTCCTCAGGACTGTGCGTGCCTGGCCTGATGAGACAGTTAGTCAGTTAGTGGAGGGGAGTTCGGGGGGCTGGGTGGTCTCGGTGTGTGTGTGCCTCTTCTCTGCGCTGTGGCTGGAGGTCTCAAAGCGGGTGTAGAAGGTGTTGAGGTCATCCG